GAGGTAGAGACCCGACTAATGAATGTGAGGCCCTGCCAGAACAACCAACTTAACCCCTACCTCAATATCATACCCTCCTAATGTACCTAACCCTCAACAACCAAACCAATATCAAATCCCTCACATCCCCCCCCCCGTCCAATGCCAAAGATCTTACTAGTTTATTGACATCCTTCCTTACCGAATAAACTGGTATCTCATCTCATTCCTCCTTTAAAAAAATCCTTAAATGACTCCTATCAAACCCATATTCATTCTCATATGGAATGCGAATGGTGTTAAAAATCACACAGACCAACTAACAGCCTTACTATTATACACGAACATAACTGTAGCCCTAATTACAGAAACTCGACTGGCCAAAAAACAGCTTTTGAAAATACCAAGGTATTTAACGTATCGGACAGACCATTCTGACATAATTCCATTGCCTAATCATGATTTCCTACAATCCACTGCAGTTGTAATAAAAACTTTTTCCTTTCCTGTCACAATTGCATCAGCATATTTCCCTCCTAACCTTTTCATCTCAAATGCCCAGTTCACCATTCTCCTAAATTCCTTGGGACACCTTTCATCCTGGTTGCAGACTTAAACGCCAAGTATCAACAATGGGGTTCAAGAACCACGAATTCTCTTGGTCGAACATTGCTGTCTGCAATCAGTTCCCAATGTTTTACCCTCCTTCCTCCCGATTCACCTACCCACTGGCTCACTGATCCTAACCCCGCTATCCTCGAATTCTTTATTCACTTTGGTTTAGGTACCCTCCTCCATTCCCTTGCACGTCTTGATGAGCTTTCCTCAGACCACAACCCATTAATATTCCAAGTACCATTAGCTCCTATTCCTAAACCCTCTCCACCATCCTTCATCAGAGGCCCAGTCAAACTCTTTCATCAAATCCTTTCTGATAAAATTGACCTCAGAGCAGCCCTGAAAAACCCAGAAGACCTGGACAATGCCGTTCATTCCTTTACCACTAAAATCCAGGAACCAGTCTGGACGGCTTCCTCTCCTGATCACTCCTCAAAAACCCTCAAGAAGTCCAATTTACCTCAACACCTCCTTGACCTAATCCATATAAAACGCCATGCCAGATTATTATGGCAACGTAACAGACATCCCGCCTACCGCCATTCCTACAATTATTACTGTAAACAATTAAAATAAGAATTAGCCACCTTCAGATCCCGATCAACTTCTACCTCACGTCCCTCTCTGGTCATGATAATTCCGTCTGGAATACCACCAAAAAAATCTTAAAATCCCATCATATTTCTCATCCCCTTCGTGGAGGTGATGGTACCGGGGCAGCGTCTGATATAGACAAAGCCCAGGAATTTGCCAAGCACCTTTCCTATACCTTCACTCCCCATCCATAATCTCATCCCACCCACACAGTAAAAGTAGAAGAATTCCTTTCTTCACCTATACCACTCTCCTTACCACCTGAAACAGTTAATCCCTCTGAGGTCAAATACTTATTACGCAAAATCACTCCTCGTAAATCTTCTGGATACAACCTTCTAACCCCACAGATCCTTCGATCCAATGCCATCATATTTCAACCATATATATATATATATATACAATACCATACTGCGAACTACCCACTTCCCTCTCTTATGGGAACATTCCATCATCATCCTTTTCCTGAAACCAGGCAAGCCTCCCAATAATAGATCATCCTACAGTCCAATTAGTCTACTCCCAATTCTTTCCAAATTTTTTGAAAAGATCCTACTGAAAAGAATCCTAGGACACATTTGTGTTTAATCAATTGACACATTTTATACATATAGTATGAATGTATACATAAATCCATAATATCTAATGCTCTTGATTGTGGCAGAATGTATTATTATTATCTTCCAATAAAAATATTAGGTATAAAAAAAAATGAAATCAAGATTAAAAAATAAATAAATATTTTATTATTATCATTCAATGAATCCATCATCTCGACCAAATGGCTTGAATCAAAATAAGCTCCCTTAAAAACTTAAACAGGCAAAATTATGTCTATTGCATTTTCCGTGTATTTTATATATTTAATCTTATTTGTTAATACCACTTCGCAACCTAAGCAAAAATGGTTTGATCAGGAATGCAGGAGAGGTAAACGAAATCTCAAGAAGTTGCAAAGAATAATGCAAAAGAACAGTTTATTGACAGGATTTATCAGAGACTACCTTCAAGCCCGAGATGAATATAGAAAACTAATAAAAAGGAAAAAAACGGAGTTTAGAGCATCAGTAATTACAAATTTGAGAACAGTAAAAAACAGTGGAGAATTTTGGAAGACGGTGAATATGTTAAGACCATTTCACAATCAAAATAACGAAATAAGTTTGAACGATTGGTTCCAATACTACACGAATCTATACGGCCAAAAAACGATACATGAAACATACTTTTTCTCCGTAACTCATCCATTCCTGGATATCAATATATCATTGGAAGAACTGCAACAAAGCGTAGGTACCTGTAAAAAACATAAATCTCCAGGACCTGATAATATAACTTATGAAGTTGTTAAATGTCTCAACCCCTCTTGGGAGCACTACATATTAAATTTATTTAATAACGTATTGAATTCTGAACAAATTCCAGGAATGTGGGCCGAATCTAACTTGCATCTTCTGTATAAGAAAGGTGATAAAAAGGATCCGAACAACTACAGAGGCATATCCATGCTTAATACTCTAGCAAAGTTATTCACTAGCATTCTAAGGAACAGAATCATGAAATAGGCTGAATTAGAAAAATTAATACAGGAGGAACAGGCTGGTTTTATAACGGGCAGGGGATGCATTGATCACATATTCACATTGATGTCAGTTGTCAACATTAATTTGAGGTCAAAGGGCAGCTATGTTTACGCAGTGTTTGTCGACCTTAGGAAAGCCTTCGACTCTATCAACCAAAATCTGTTGTGGGAAAGGCTTTTTTCTCTTGGAATGGGGGGAAAACTAATTAGGCTTCTCAAGAAACTGTATGATGCTTCATCGATGCGGATAAAGTTGAAACATGAGCTGTCAGAAGAGATTGGTATCAGTCTGGGCCTGCTTCAGGGGGACAGTCTTAGTCCTGCATTGTTTATCCTGTTTGTGTCGGATATAGTTGAGTACTTCCGTGACCGAGGAGCTGTTGGTATTAGTATAGACCATAACCACGAAGTAGTTATGCTTCTGTTAGCGGATGATATTGTGCTCCTCAGTAATTCGTGGCATGGTGCACAAAGAAACATCAATATATTGAGCGAATACTGTAAAAGCAAATCTTTGACCCTAAATCCATCTAACTCTAAGGTGTTGGTGTTCCATAAATCTCCAAGGATGAAGAAACTTAAGACTTTGGCTTGGCGATACACAAGTTTGGAGTATACCAGAAACTATACAAATCTGGGTGTACCCTTTTCTTCTTCTGGAAACTTCGAGAGAGCCGCGGAGCATTTCTTACATAGATCATCTGTTTCAGCGACCAAAGTGATGGAAATCCTAAGAAATGGAAAAAGCGACTCTTGGGAGATAAAAACCAGCCTCTTTGACTCGATGGTCTCGTCAACACTGTTCTATGCTGCAGAGATCTGGGGGATGAGATACCTGGAGGTTATGGAGAGGAAGGAAGTTCGATTTATCAAATCATTGCTCCATTGGCCAAGAAATACACCGAACTATGTGGCTCGCCTTGAAAGTGGGAGATCTCCATTAAGTGTTGAAGTGTTGAAAAAAGTGATCAACTATTGGACAAAGCTAAGCTTAATGAGTGACGAAAGACTACCTAGACAATGCTTTAATAGGCTTAGAGCTCTAGACTCATCCATTGGAAAACCTGATCCAACTTATAACTGGGTTACCCAAGTAAAGATGATTGTGGCGGAACTGGGATGTCAGGAGATGTTTTCTTGTGTTTTCTCTCAAGGTCTGATGAGGTTCAAAGATGAAATCATGGAAAAAATAAGAAACCATCCCTCATCCAAGGACATCGACAGAGTGTTAAACTCTAAATCAAACCCAAGATATAGAAAAATCTGCTCCTTTAATGTTGCCAGAGCAGAGGATTATCTTCAGTTCAGGGCTCTGAATTTAAACAAATTAAGAGCCGTTAGTCGTTTCAGAGTAGCAAGTAAAGATTTTATGAAAATGTACTTAAAAGATGCTACTTTGACTATTAAATTCAGTGAGATTTGTGGTGCATGCAACTGCCTTGTAACTGAACCGGTAACTCATTTTCTGATCCAATGTATCAAGTTCAATGAGCCAAGAAATAAGTACTTGAAGGCATTTATCACTGAATCCAGAGAAGATGGTAGTGTGGAGGAGATACTGAAAATAGACACTACGAAAAAACTAAACCAACTGTATTATTTCATACAGGGCTGTTCACTGTTTATTTCATACTTAATGCTGTGGACATTGTTAATGTTATGTTTGAATGCAGTACTAGACTCAAGATCTAATATTGTTAACTATACCATTATATTTATTTGTACAGGAATTTCCTTAGACAAATAAAATAAACTATCTACCTATCTTATTTGTTAGTAAGTTATTAGAACCCCATACAAATAGAGTCTATCTGTATATTATAAACATTATTAACTTTATTTTACTACAATATATGTATATATTGTATATATATATATAAATATGTATATATATATATATATATATATATATATATATATATATATATATATATATATATATATATATATACACACATTTTATTTTCCCCTTGTAACTTAGAGCCGATGTCCGAGAAATCTATAAGCTTACTAGAATGGGCTCTGGACAATATTGCTTGCTTTCAAGTTCAAAGTATATGTGATCAACAACGCGGAAACTTTTTTGAGCTGTGAAGATAAGTTAGAAACAACATTTACACATTATCATAATAGAATATATATCATAGTAATATTAATTACATAATATTTACTATTTTTTTAACTTTTAGTTTTTTTATATTAAACTATTTTGGGGTTATTGTTCCAGCTTCATTGATCGACATGGTTGGAGGGACAGCTGTAATAGCAATGAGATCGATCGCTTCTAAGTTAGTACCATCTGAAGAATTGGGTAAGATTTAATTTAGTCAAATTGTGAATTTTTTCTACTAATTTCCCCAGCTTGTCCTGATTTGTCCTGCAGTCCTGCCAATTTAGATAGACTGATGAACAAAACCAATTAGTTGCAAGGGCCCATTAATTTCCAGAGACGGAGAATAGAGGCTGATTTAAAACTCTCGTTTTGTATGATCAATGTTGATGAAGATTAAAATTAGAGTGACAATGAGAGATTGATTGATTGATTGATCTTTGATTGTCTCATACATTTTAGATTTAACATTTTTCAATACAATATACAGTCTACAATGTTCCTTATTTATGATAATTTTTAATTTTAAAGTGTTAGTGGTATAAATAAAAAACAAAATATGACAATAGAAGAATGAAAGAGAGAAAAAAATAAGAGAGAAAATAGGTGATGCTAAAGAGTCAAGAACTAGAAAAAATAAAACGAAATAAAAAATAAATGAAATCAAAAGTGCATGAAAGAGGGAGTATCTGCGAGAACTTTGAATCTTCATGGCGTACTCGACCGGTATGCGGTCAGGAATTGCATAAGACAGACTTTGAGGAAGAAGGACGCCGAAATTTCTGCCGGAAGCTGGTTGAACTCTCTCGCCTCTGCAGCGTGAATGCGTTCCTGAAAATCTCGGTTCTGCAAGCCGGCAACTGGAATTTTCCATGCAACCTCTCTTAATGTACCTCTACCAACCCATTCCTTAGTTCTTCAGGATCCCCAGATTCCAGAACATTTCTAGCTAGACACATCAAATTGAGTCTCTTATAGTCTTTTGTTCGCAACCAGCCTAACACATTTATAAATAAAATCTTCCTTTTTTTAATTTTCAAAATATGAAAATGATTACGGTGCTGAGAGCCCTCTGAATTCTGACGTATTTTGATATGTCGATGTAGACGGAGTCATAGTACTGTGCCAGAGGGAGGACTAGCGCTGAGAATCTTTTCTTCTTGACTTCAGTCGACAATAATCCTCTCCTTCTTCAAAGGGAATGCATAACACCATATACCCGGCTCAGTACGATCCTGGCATGACAACGAGCCACCGACCATCACTCCAAGAACTCTTATTTTCCCGATCGAGGTATGACATTATTCATGACCATCAGCGAGGGAAATGAAATGTTCTTCTCGGCTTGTGCAACCAGTTTAGGACATCCTATTAATATCCAGCTGTATTTCTTGTAATTTAGGTGGTCTGCTAGAAAAGGCCTAGAGCTGAAGTGCGTTAATATCGTTACTAACCCGCTGCATAGTCTTAACCAACTCCTCTGGCAATTCAGAAGCCAAGATAACTATACCATCAGCAAACATGTGGATTTTAAAGTATTTCAGAGCCCAGACAACGTCATTAATGTACCCGAGGAACAATAGCGGGCCAAGAAAGGTACCCTGGCGGACACTCGTACCGCACTCCCGCCACCCCAAGCGATCGTTATGAGCTCTCACTTGCTATGTCCGTCCAATCAAATTGGATATTAACCATTGCAATACTTGCCTACGTACCCCAAAGCCCTGGTGAGATGGAGTGATACAAATACTGTAACCATACGTTCGTACATTGCTCTGCGCACTTAAGTCAGGACTATATGGAATGCAGTCCATGTACTTCGCCCTTGTTTAAATCCTAATTGGAATGGGAAGAGTACATCATTGTCTTCCAACAATCTTCTCAAGTCCCTCTCGACAACCCTTTCAAATATTTATGATGCAATGGGCAATAGAGAAATTGGCCTGTAATCTGAAGGTGTCACAGGCTTTAATATTTTAGACCTTTATATTAGAATATATTCTAATAGAATATATTAGATTAGGCCTCTTTAATTTTTTAGGATTAGACCTGAGTATCAATCGTCTCCATCGTCTGCACTGCTGTAAATATGCTTTTATTATATCGACGAGGATTTAGGTGACTCCCACCTTCTCGATCATCTCCTTTGAGAACCCAACTGCACGCGACTTCACTCGGCTAATACTCCAGACATCACCCTCGCTGATCTCATCGAAAATAAGATCATCAACATAATTTGTCTGTATGAAATATTTAACCGCACTACCAGGGCCCAAAGAATGGGATGCAAATAACGAATTGAGTTGATCGAGACTGCACAGAAGTTCTCCCCCCCCCCCATCTAGGTTCTTGACATCAATGATTCGTTGGTTTCTTAGTTCTTTTCATACTTCGTTGGGGACACATTTACTAAGATTCTCCAATATAGTTTTTCTCTTAGCATCTTATATAATAGTTTTTTATTTAATTTTGTAACGTCGATATTGTACAGCGTTATCCAAAGAACCACCTTTTTTGAACATCCAAAAGAAGAAATCTCTTCTAGCCATAAGGGATCTGATAACCTCAGACATCCAGGAAGTGGGTTTTGTTCTACGCCTTCGATGTGTCTTAAGAGATATATGCTTATCGAAAAGCACAGTTATCTTCTTTGTTTACAATTTCATCTTTTCATCAACAGCAGTGCTGTCATATACCTCGGACCAGTCTAACTATTGTGTATCTATTTTAGAGCCCATAGGATCGACCTTCTTAAAATTGTGTTTTGGCATGGGTGTAATTCATATCTAATTCCCAGGAACCATAAACATAAACATAACAGAGCCAGGATTAGTCTTGCTGATACCAGGCCAGACCTATCTTTTTATCTATTTATTAACCTAATTTCTCGCATTTGGTCTTATTTTACTTTCTTTTTTATTTTAATACACACTAGTGTGTTATTATTTTATAAACAAGATGACGAATGTAGATATAGAAGTAAATGCAAAACCTCCCGACGAAAATATCACTAATGAAATCGTTAGTAAGACCAATTAACATACAAAATTATTCACTTCCAATACTTTAACATTCTTTAAGGGTCCTTACATTGCCATAGTTAAAAAAGAAGAAAATGATAAGTCGGAATTCTTTCACTTACTACTGAAACTTCTTGGATTTAGAATAAACCATGTGAATACAGCAAAAAGTAAAAATAGAAATATATTTTAAAAGCTCCGAATTCAAGAATAAATTTCTGGAAAATTTTCTTCAACAAGCTAAAGGCGTATATTTCAGACCATTTTGTAATTAAACATGGTGTCATTCGCTACATTCATGTGAGAATGAGCGAGAATGAAATTATAATTCAATTGAATATGTTATTGCTGTACGTATATTTTTTAGAACAACGGAGGTGGTTAAAGTCCCGACATCATCAATTCAAGTAACCTTTCATTCCCAACGCTTATCAGATAATGATTCACTATTTCTACCCCAAGGAAGGTTTATCCATACATTTATAAATCACTTCTTTGGGAAAATTGACTTAAATATGACCATTTAAAGGAGAAATGTCGATGTAAACCCCTTTGAAATATTTGTGGTAGCAAGGAACATATCAGCGAAATTTGCGAACAATTAACAATATGTATATACTGCAATAAAGCATAGGCGCAGATTATGGTGGTGGTGAGGGGGGCGACACCCTCCCTCCTTCTAATAAAAATGTTGAGGGGGCGAGAATATAGTTTCCTCCCTCCTCCCCTCCCAATAATTTGAGGCAACAAAAATTAAAATCAATAATAAATAAGCTAAATCTATTAAGAAAAGTCGACTAGCTAGCAAGGCTAATACTAGGTATGTAACGATTTTATTAATACCTAAATATTACTTTTATTTAAATTGTTATTTATATTGAAAGATAATGATATAAAGTGTTTCCCGTAAGTTGGGGGAATTTTTAAACAGATAATTAAATAGATAACTCTATAAAGTAAATAGAGCTATCAAAAACTTTACAGAAGCAATAGTATGATTTTCGGCAGAACAGTAGTCAATTTAAGTTTTGTGTTTTTTTTTTAAGTATCATGGTTTTTTATTAAAGGGGATTCTTCAATCATTTCTTACGAAGAAGTTCCTGGTTGTGGTTCTGAAGTGTTCACTTTTGTTGTTGGAGATGTTTCTTGTAGGCAGCGACGAGTTCTTTGGTTGGTGAACCGCGAGGCGTACTAACTCCGTCTGACCGCGTCCTCTTGGGCACCTTACTGGACATGGTGGTGAGCACCTCACTTGGTGACTATACCGCATACCGTAAGAGAGAAAAGAAAGAAAAAAAAAAATTATAAAAAAAAAATACAACAAACAGCAATATCAACTGCTCTGATGTACACGTGAAATTTATTCAATGAAAAATCAGAGAGATTCCACTGAAAAATAGCCAAATACTGAGAGACCAGTTGAGAGCACAACCTTCCAATCACCTGATGCACTGCGTTGTCGATTATCAGTATGAAGGAAGAAGATGGTCCGGGGTGGTGGTCAGAAATAGGCTAAATAGTGGCAAAACTATTTTATTAAAAGCCAACGTTTCGACCCGACTTTGCAGGTCTTCTTCAGGGCTAGAACGGACAAGATACAAACGGATAAAGAATTGTGGAAGTTACATAATATCATAATATAGAGAGGAGGAAAAAATATGAATAATTATAATTATATTTGGTTGTACATATGTAAGAATGTTACATTTAAATATTAGATAATATTGAGACATGGTTAAAAAGTAAAATTAATACAAAGTGAAAACGGATGATTATACATTGGTATAGAATGTAAATATAAAATTCAAATAAAATAAAAGAGAGATCATACAAAGTGGAAATACATAGTGGATTAGATAAAGAGAGAGATCGGCGAATTAGGTTTTTGGCGGTATTTATTTTTTCGTGATATGGGTGTTAAAAAAAAGAGTTGAGTAGTCTGCCTGAGTACGTGGGTTTAGTGTACCAGTCAGTAGAAACAAAACCGTCAGTGTTTTTTATTATTAGGAGATCTAAGAAGGGGAGTGAATTGTTAACTTCTGTGTCTATAGTGAAACGGAGACGGGGGTGGAAAGAGTTGAATGAGGAAAGAATTTAAGGGATGCTGTCAGGGTTAAGAACTAGGAGGAGAGGTCATCTACATATTTTTTTATTAAAATGATGTCTTGATGAAAATAAGGGATAACAGAGTCTAGAAGGTCATTGAGAACAATATTGGAAATATCTGGTGCTAAAAAATTTCCCATGGCTAGGCCTGAAATCTGATTAATGAATTTTCCTTGGAAGATGAGGTATTCGGATCTGCAACAAAGCTCAAGGGATTCAGGGTATGAGGAGAGGTTAAGGGTGGTGTGAGAAAGAAGTTAACAATTCACTCTCCTTCTTAGACCTCCTAATAATAGAAAATACTGACGGCTATGTTTCTATTCTAAACCCATTTACTCAGGCAGACTAATCAACTTTTATTCCTAACACCCATATCACCAAAAAATCAATACCGCCAAAAATGTAATTCGCCGATCCCTCTCTTTATCTAATCCACAATGCCACCAAGCCAACACTCAGAGTGTCAAAAATATACTCCTCTCCAATAATTTCCCTCTCAACGCCTTACTTAAACTTTTAATTGACTATACAACCAAAAAGACATCCCCTTCTCCCAACTTCCCACAATCACCTACCACTCCTTTCATATACAAATCTCTCCCCTATATTACTATTTTCTCAGATAATATACAAAAATCCCTTAAATTTTCTATAACCAACTTATGTCATGGACTTAAGTCCCATAACAATCTTTGTTTCCTTTTCACTAACTTGAAGGATCCCATACTTTTACAATATTCCTAATTGTAATAGCTCTTATATTGGTGAAACCAAAAACCATCTCAAAACCCACATTTCCCAACATAAAACATCCTGATCTCTCTTTTATTTTATTTGAATTTTATATTTACATTCAACATCAATGTATGATCATCCGTTTTCACTTTGTATTAATTTTACTTTTTAAACATGTTTCAATATTATCTAATATTTAAATGTAAATTTCTTACATATGTACAACCAAATATAATTATAATTATTCATACCTTTTTTTCCCTCTCCATACTTCTAAGTTACTTCTGCAATGTATGGTCTCTTATTTCTATATTTATATTTTACTTCTATTTACGTTTTACTTCTTCTATTTTTGTTTTTCTTCACATTTTACTCTTATCTGTAATCTCTTTATTCTATTTTATATGTATACGTATATATTTATAATTTAATATTTCATAGATATAGTATTTTTTCCCTTGTATCCATCCATATCTTCAAATTTTAGAGACTGTAATTTTCTAGGTTTTTCCCCATTACCCTAACAAGTCAGCAAATTCCCCAATACCTGCTCTTACCCTGATTTTTCAGTTCTAAGTGAAACTCCTAGCTGAACACACCTGTAAGTCTCTGTTTTTATTCTTCTAATTTTATTTACTTATTTATTAATTTTTTGGTTTTCTTTTTTTTCTTTCTCCACATTCCTTTATGTCTATTATATCCTTTTTCCTTTTATTTCAATCTCTCCTGCAGATCTGTAAAAGTATATTCACATTTGCATATCCGTACATATATTATTACAGTAAGGCTCGAAATCGGTTTTGCACCAAATATAAGCTCCTGTCATGCTCAAATACCATGAATGGGGTACCGTTGGATTCAGAATTTCACAGGGAGTTAGCGAATCGTATTCTCCGCTTTTGTTTTTCTTTCTAAAATAAATAAAGTCGATACAAACATTTTGCTAGGCTTCAATACTGGAACGGTGGTAGGTCTGTAGATCGATGCGAGACAAATTGGACCTTGAAGATTTTAATGCGTATAGCAAGACCCGGCTAGTTCCTCTTGAACTATCGGATCCTGCGTTTTTAAGACCAAAAACGTACTATTTTCGAGATAACGCAAGGCATAGGGTTCGCATCCACACAACCTGTACGTTAATTGTAGTACTGGCATTGGATACATGTCTCATTTCGTCGACTTGAGGTCTCTATGATCGAGACAGGAGGAGTTTATATTATTTATCGATGGTGTTTTCGATCGGCAAGCCATATCAATATCAAAAAATAATTGAAATCGGTCAATTTTTCGCAAAGATACAGCTTATTGAAGTTTGTAAATATGTTAGTTCCAAACAAAAATGAAGATTTAAATTAATTTTGTTTCCTTTGTCGATTATATTTCTCGATAAAGTAACAATTGATTCCTTTATCTTTTGATACGTTGCTTTATTTTATTTTCCTATTAATTTGGCATTTGATAAAAATTTGCTGTGCGTATTTTTCGCACGGGCCTGCTAGTATTATATATTACACTACAAGAATTTTTACCATATATTTACTTCAGTTTAGGATCTTGTTACATAGCTTACTCTGTTTATATTTTAATGTACTTACTGTTTATAATTTTAATTCACATTGTTTATAATAGTTTGTCTAAATATTATGTAACTTCCACAATTCTCTATCTTTTTTTATCTTGTCCGTTTTAGCCCTGAAGAAGACCTGTAAAGTCGGGTTGAAACGTTGGCTTTTAATAAAATATTTTGCCACTATTTAGAATAATTTATGACCGCCACTCCGGGCCATCTCCTTTTAATTTGCTATACGTAAAATTTCCCTTGTAATGTGCCGTTTTCGAGATTTGAGAGAAAATCCAAAAATTGTGACATTTCTCCCTCCCCTCCCCCACCCCGGCTCACCAACTAGACGTCAGAACTTTTGATATGTTCAAACCCTAAGCAACCTAAACAAGTTTCTAAAAGAATCCCTCACGCATAAATCATATATTTTTTTCTATAAAAAACAATTGTGCTATTTGATCTTTATCGTCAGAATTAATATTAGTATATTTACTTAAATACATACTTCTATAAGTGTCATATGCATGCAGTACAATGCAACAGAAATATGGTATAAATCATTTGGGGCGCGTGTATTTTAACATTCCCCTTCAAATAATTCCATATTTTTAATGTGGAGTAATTATTTAACCGAGTCTGTGGCTCTCTTCATATTTACCAATTGTAGGTACCAATTATATTTTGCATTAAACAAATAATTACTTCTGTAAGATTTTTTTTTTTCTAAAACTAAAATTGAAATTCATATCACCCAAAACCCGGAAATCGTATCTGAGAGCGGAGAACATTAGCAATACATTCTTTTTTCCTCTAAAGGATGCTTCAGGGTTAGATGGCCAAACTGCAAAAATGAACTAAGGATCTCAAAATTTCCTTTGAAGGTATGTCCACAAACGCTTTGTTTAGGAGATATTCACATCTAAAGATTTTCGTTGTAATGAATTATTTACGTTATATGAAATAAATAAAACAATTTATTTGTTCCAACTACTTTATTAATTAAATATAAATATTAACATTCATATTAAATGTTGTTTAAAGTGATTTCCTTGAGCATTAAGAAAGGCTCGGCATCTTTCTTCAACAGCAGCAGTGGGAGAACGGCACTGGATAAGTGTTATTGTTTCACAAGATTCAATTATCCTTCTTCGTAAGAAATTAAGGTCATTGACCTGACTTGCTCTATCATATCCCATATCCCAATCAATGGATTGGCCATGCAAGGCCAGTGGCTTGGCCTGCACGCTCTCCAGACCTGACACCATTGGATTTTTTTTTGTTTGGGGTGACATTAAACAAAACGTCCATGCAAGTCCAGTCAATCACCTTAATTCCTTAAGGAGAAGGATAATTGAATCTTGTGAAACAATAACACATATCCAGTGCCGTTCTGCCACTGCTGCTGTTGAAGAAAGATGCCGAGCCTGCCTTAATGCTCAACGAAATAGTTTTGAACAACATTTAATATAAATGTTAATGTTTACATTTAATTAATAAAGTAGTTAGAACAAATAAATAGGTTTTATTTATTTTATATAACGTAAATAATTTATAACAACTACAATATTTAGGTGTGATTAAATCCTAAACAAAGCGTTTGTGGACATTCCTTCAAAGGAATTTTTTTTTCTTGTTTTGAGGTCCTTAGTTCATTTTTGCAGTTTGGCCACTTAACCCTGAAACACCCTGTATATAAAATTATAAGGCTTTCTCATCATTGTAATTTTAGTTCTACGAATTAGCTCATGGGAACACAAGTGAAGCCTTTGAACTATTAACCCTTTCATCTACCAACCTTGAATTACACTTCTCTCGCTATACATCCTTTAGAAATTATTATAATTTGTTCTCAGTCCATCTAGAGCCCCTCTATATGAAACTCTCTTTCCTGATATTTTATTTATACTTTTAATGTTTCATTTACTTGTAAAATAAATATTTTTAAGAACGTTTTAGCTCCTATATTGAAGATAACTTATATATATATATATTATGTTTATTGATATATATATATATATATATATATATATATATATATATATATATATATATATATATATATATATTATGTTTTTAGGAAAAATTAACTCACTTTTTGGAGTTTGTGAGGCAGTGACACCTCTTATTTATCAACCATTGTATAGCTTTGTTTATCAAAAGACTATCAATACTCTTCCTGGTGCATTTTTCCTAGTGGGAAGTTCTTTGACTTTACCAACCGTTCTTATATTTCTGTAAGTATCCATTTATCATTTATTAAAAGTAATTTAATAGTGAACTTAATGTTTGATTTTATTAATTGTAATACAAAAAAAGAAAATCAATGTAATTCTAAGATCCAATAAAATAAATCACCAACATCTATTTATGAAACAAAATTTACTTGCTTGTAAGTGTGCATATGTGTAGATGATTTTATTTCTGGTTTGTTTCTTGTTGCTTTAAAGGCGGAAAGATAATATAGACTTTTTTTATTGAGTATTATAACATTCTATCTATTTGTCAATAGTTATAATGAGGTAAGACCACTATATGTACATAAAAATATAAAATTAAACAGAAACAAAGTTACAACTAATTAATATTCAAAAAGTATATACAATAAAATAACTTAAAGATAATTTATTTTATTTTATTTTATCTAGACATATAATATATGTCTAAATAAATTCTCGTGGACAATGATTATAGTGATAAATGAAAACATTCACACCATATATACAAAAAATATAAAATTAACAAAAGTAAAATAATAACTAAATAATAATAAAAAAACTATGTACAATAAAAAATAAAATAACCTAAAGATGAGTAAATTAAAAACACAGTCATACCTATATACAATATATATAATCAGGCAGGGAACACAAAGTCAGGCTTCTTCCTCTAACTATAGAAGGAAAAGCAGCTCTAACAGATCCCTGCGCTACTCTAAAGGTAATTAAATTTAAAAAAAGAACACATATATAATACAGAATTTAATTGCACTTACTTTGCTAGTTACAAAGTGATAAAGTAAACAGTTATAAAATAACTTGCAAAATTCGCTAGTGCTCGTCACGATAATGTGTTTTTTTTTATATACATATATTGCATTAGAAAATTCACCTATGAGGATGATTTTTCCTATATTTCTCTTGTCATTAAACAGGTGCTTAGAATATTAGTTTTCGAAAGGAAGGTCTTTCGGAGGATATTTGGCCCCATTAAGGAGAATGGTAAATGGAGAATTAGGCGCAACCAAAAACTAGCTAACTTATACAAGGAGCCGAATGTGGTGAAATATAACCGGATAGCAAGGCTGAGATCGAAGGGCCAAGTTGCAGGGATGGACGAGACATCAATCCTAAAGAAGCTACTGAGCATAGAGCCGGTCGGAAAAAGAGTGGACAGACCGAAACTGAGATGGGAAATGGGGTAAGTGCTGATGCTAGAATCTATGGAATCAGGAACTGGCAGAGGCAGCTCAGGACAGGGAAACATGGAGGAAAACTCTTGAGGCAGCCAAGATCCAGTAATGGATTTTCGAGTTCAGGATGATGATATTGATGACATTAGAAAATTCGTCTTAGAGGATGATTTTTTCTATGTTTCTCTTTTCTTTAAATAGCTGTTTTTGGATTTATTTTTCTACCATCCAGAGGGGAGAGCGCTTCCCCTGGCAGAAATTACTAGTGCTGGTCACGATAATAACATTTTTTTTTATATTACATCAGAAATTCGTCTATGAGGATGAATTTTTCCTATATCTTTTTTTCTTTAAATAGCTGCTTTATGGAACTTTTCCCCAACCATCCAGGGAAGAGACCCCGGCTGGATCCACTAGTACTGGTCACGATAGTAATTTTTTTTGTATCACTGAAAATTCGTCTTAGAGGATGATTTTTTACTATATTTCCCTTTTCTTTAAATAGGTGTTTTTTAAATATTTGTTTCCACCATCCAAGGGACGGCGCGCCCCCTGGAAAAATTCGTTAGTGCTGGTCACGATTATAACTTTCTTTTATATTACATTAGGATATTCATCGTCTATGAGGATCTAGTGATCTTCCAGTCCAGTCTGGCCAGAGACGGCAGTGAGTAAACATCTACGGAGCGCTTTCTTTCAATTTCATATATTGAGCCCAATTTTGGTTTTTTCTTTCGTTGTTTCTTTTCTTAACAGTGTCATACTATCGAATGTAATCTTTAAAACTTCTTAAATTTACGTATTTTCACGCTACTCAACGTAAAGAAAATATAGTGAGAGTGCTACGAGCCTGCCACCGAATTTATCTCGGCGAGGAGATGACCCCAACAAACAGGCACCTCTACTGGCTAGCCCGGCAGAAGAGAGCTGCCGGGAAGATAAGATACGTATGGTTCTCTGCCGGCATTGTGCGTTGCCGAAAAGAAGACGGCCATCAAGTAATCTTGATTAATCAGGCATCGGATCTGGAAGTTTTCGCCTGACTGCACAGGTTTCATCTCTTCTTCTCGTTCTTCAAAGTATTTTTTGTCTTCATTGGTGCCCAAATAACATTGAAGATTTTGGTTAAAATTTCTCACAGCTCCAGTTTACTAATTTGTTTATTTTCTTACTCTTATTTCTCTCTTATTTTTTCATTATTCACTTTTATTTTGCTTATCAGTACTTTTCATAATTTTTTTTCAGAATATGATATATGCCTCATTTCCTCTATGCTAATTTCTGACTGTTTCCCATCAAATCCTCCCCATGTCTAGCATCCTAACCACCTGCCACGTTAACTCGCAATCCCTTCCCGCCCATTATGATGAATTCCTGCAGTACTTTTCTCAAAACTTTTTTCACATCATCGCAATCTCAGAAACCTGGCTCAAACCCTATATTCCGTCCTCATCTGTCTCCTTACCTAATTACACCCTCATCCGCCACGACCGCCGGACTGGTGGTGGGGTGCCCATATTTGTCCATGATAGCCTGAAGTCCCGAATCCTTGATTACTCCCCACCCTCCGAACATCCACAAGTGGAGTACCTTCTAGTAGAAATTACCTGTAATAATTCACCTCTCCTTTACATAGTGATCTACCGTCCTCCCCTTGTTCCATTTGATCCGTCCTTAGAATCAACCCTACTCAACTTTGTTCCCCTCTATCCTAGAATAATCATCGCCGGGGACCTCAATACCAATTTCCTTTCTAATTCCAAAGACAAAACCTATCTAGAAAACCTATTTTTTTCCCTCCATCTCTTTATTGTTCCTTTTTATCCTACTCACCACACCCACAAGGCCGACACTTGGTTAGATTTCTTCATTATAGACTCCGAAATAAATCTCCTCTCCTCTTCTCAACTGCCAGTATCCTTCTTATCGTCTCACGACATGATCCAAATAACATATAATATCCAAACCCCTCTGATTCATCCGAGAACCTTCACTTTCCGTCAGATAGACACTCTCACCCGTGAAAAAATACTACCTGACCTTGAAACCTTAGATTTGAACGAAATATATTCCTGCTCCTCCATCGACTCCATGGTTGAGATCCTGACTTCCAATCTCCTCAATATCCTTAACACCCATGCTCCCATAAAAACCTCAACCTTTCGCCGTCGGCCTGCACCTTGGATGTGTCAAGAAATCAAGGATCTGCAGAAGAGGCGTGATGCTGCCCGCAGACGCTTTAGACGTACTAGGCTTACAGATGACTATCAAGCGTTTAGGGTGCTCCGCAATTTGACACAAACAAGAATTCGGCGAGCTAAAGCTTCCTACTTCCATGAAGCCCTGTCATCTGCCCCAGATCCCAAATCTAAATGGCTAATCCTTCGCAAACTTTCCCTCTGTGAACCTTCTAGATCCCCTTCCTCACTGTTCTTTTCCGTTTCACCTGACGATTTAAATTCACATTTTATTTCTGCCTCCTCTACCTCTTCTCTTCCCTCCTCTTCCAACTATACTCCTGAGTCATCATTTAATGATGATGACTTTTATTTCTCCTACATTTCCCCGACTGACTTACTAACCGCAGTAATGAAATCCCACACCAATTCCATAGGACCAGATGGCATTCCTGTCAAATTGATAAAATTATGTCTCCCCGAAATCCTCCCAGTTCTCCTTTTCATTTACAATTTCTCCCTACAGAACTCAATATTCCCTTCCTCTTGGAAAAAAGCCATTGTACTCCCTTTAAATAAAAAGCCTAATCCATCCTCTCCCGAAGGCTTTCGCCCAATCTCAATTCTTTCCAATCTCTCAAAACCCCTAGAAAGATTGGTGCAATCCCAAGTTTCCAATTTCCTTGAAAAGTCTAACCAACTCGATCCTCTCCAATCTGGTTTCCGTCCCGGCTACTCCACACAATCCGCCTTAATCAAAATTACTAATGATGTTCAGACTGCAATAGATAATAAACAACTAACTGTCCTTATACTTCTTGACTTCTCTAAAGCCTTTGATTCCATTAACCATCCCATCCTTTTCAACAAACTAAAATCACTCTCCTTCTCCAATAGCTCCATCTCTTGGTTCCAATCTTTCCTATCACAACGCACCCAAGCAGTCTCCATTCCTAATCAACCACTATCTGCCTACCTGCCTTTATCCGCTGGAGTCGCCCAAGGATCTAGCATATCTCCTCTCCTTTTTAGTTCCTATATCAATGACCTCCATGACTCAATTCTCCATTGTTCCCACCACCTTTATGCAGACGATTCTCAAATATACCTATCCTTTTCTCCCCCTGAGCTATTGGTAGCATTTACTAAGATCCAAGCAGACCTAGATCGAATCTGTGCCTGGGCAAAATTAAACGGATTAAGGTTAAATGCTTCAAAAACTCAGGCAATTGTCATTGGTTCCAAGCCCCTCCTTAGATCCTATACGGACTTTCCCATACTAAACCTTGGTGACCAGCCAATCTCCTTCTACTCCTCTGTAAAAAATTTAGGACTATTTATTGATCAAACCCTCTCCTGGAGTCACCATATTTCTCACATCTCCCGAAGGACAGTCTCTACCCTCAAACTATTCCATTGCTTCCGCCATCTCCTACCTCAACATACGCGCAGACTCCTCGTTTCCTCTCTCATCTTCCCCCACTTTGACTACTGCTGTGTGGTGTATGATGGACTCTCGGTGGAGCTCCGCGACAGACTGAAAAGAATAATGAACAGTTGCGTGAGATTTGTAATTGGTGCCCCGAGATACTACCATGTCTCTCACCATTACACTGAGTTAGAGTGGCTCTTCCCCTCCATTCGAAGA